TCTCTCTCTCTCTCTCTCTCTCTCTCTCTCTCTCTCACACACACACACACACACACACACACACACACACACACACATAGACACACACGCGCGTCAGTGGGATGTCTTGCGCAATTTAGACAGGGGTTCTGATTCAGAGTTGCCCTCTTCCTCCGACGAACAACCATCTTTCTCGTCGCCTTCGCCTTCGTCCTCCTTGCCACTGCCATCAGTCCCATCGCAGCCACCGCTCTCGTCGTCAGCATCGCCGCTGCCTTCGTCACCATCACTGTTGCCATCACTTTCGTCGCTGCCGCCATCATTTTCATCAGCGCCGCCACCACTTTCATCGCTGCTTGTCCCTTCTGGCGCTACTTCCTCCTCCTCTTGCACGGGCTGCTTCTTCGGTCGACCCCGCTGTCTTGTGAGACGTGCGGGTGCAGGACCTTCTGCCAAACTGCCACCTTCCACGTTCTGAGCCTCCTCATCACCTGTCCCGCCTCGAGTTGCAACCTCCTTTCGAGGTCTCCCTCTCCCTCGTTTGGCCGGGATCGAGGGCGGTGCACTTGCAATTGCCTTGGCAGCTTTGTATTTGTTGGCATGCTCAACGGTCATGGTCCCCGTGGCGTGATCCAACTCATGGAAATGTTGCCGGGCCGGAAACTTGGAAGCCTTTGTGGCCTTCCTCCACGACTCGTTGAGTTGTCTCTCGAGTTCAAGCAGATTGCTGCGCAGCCGATGACGTTGGATTGTGACCTCCTCTGGAATAGGCATTTGTGGTGCTTCAACGGGATTGCCGTCGTCATCGGAGCGTGAGTCATCGTTCTCACCTACATCACTAACTGACTCTGTTCTGTGCAGTCGGGCACTCCACTCCGCCAACCGCATCCGTGCATCCTTGGCCATCTCATCCCGTGTGAGATCTTTCACCGGTTCATCCTCTTCCCATTGCGGTGAACCCTTATCGGCCTTCGACTTCTTGATCAACGCATCCAACAAACGTTGGTTCCATCTGTTGAAAACCAGCGTGCTAAGCTTGATGGCGTCGAGGTTGTTACGAAGACGACTATGAATCCGTTCGAACAAGCTCCAGTTCCTCTCGCAACAAGAGGAGGAGGACGCTTGTCCAAGCAAACGAACGACTTGCTTCTGGAGGATGGACATGTCACTGCACCACTTCCTCCACCACCTCGCCGGCTGCATCAGACGGGCCTGTGTCCTTGCATCTTCGCAATTGTGTACCCCACTGCACTCAATCCAACAACAGACCTCTGCGTCGACCTCAACAAACGACGACTCTTTGCACCACGAGTAAAGCCACGTCCAAAACCCATATGCAACCTCTGCATCCGTTTCTGTAATCCGGATCCAAGAACAACGCAGCACAATGTAGCGGTGATGTCATTGCATTCCAGCGCTGCATGATGATCTCCTCGAGTTCGTCCTTCTCCGCTTCTGCAAAGTGCTTGCTCTCCCTTAGTTTCTCCACTGCGCTGTCCATACGGGCATACACCTTGCTAATGGTGGGGCCCGTGCCATCGACCTTCTTCAAAAGTTTGAGCAGGTTCTTGGACGTATGCATCACCTTCTCGACATCCGCCCAAAAGGTGTCGTCCAAAATGGAATGCGTCGTCTTCACGATCGCTGGCTTCCAGTCGTCATCTGTCACGCACGTACGCAGCGGCAAATACAACCCCTGCAGGCTTGACAGCATGATGAAGTTCGTGGCAAACCGGGTCGCACCCGGTTTTGACACTACACCGCCATTGGAGTACTGGATCAGGAGGTCCCGCACCCGCGAATGGTTAGTGAAGAACTTTGCAAGCTCCGATGCCCTTTTCATAATTGCACCGACCCACCCGATCTTCGCGAAAGACTCGAACATCAAGTCGAGGGAGTGTGCTGTGCACGGGACAGAGAAGATGTGAGGGTAATCTGCTTCAATCATTCGCCCCACGGCTGCGCAAACAGCAGCATTGTCCATAATGACCCCCACCACTGCCTCCGCACCTATCTCCTCTATTGCCCTCTTCAGAATGGCGTAGTATGCTGAGGCGCCCTTGTTGCGCCGTGACGTACACACACTTCTCCAAAAGATGGAGCCTTTAGGGAAGGAGACCATCACGTTGATGTGTGGTCTCTGTCGGCGATCTGTCCAACCATCAAGCTGCAACATGCAGCCAGTGGTTGGCCACACCTGTCGCAACTCCTCCACCCTCTTCCCGACCCTGCCCCTTGTCACTTCGACCCTCTTCGTCCTTGCATTTTCGAACTTCGCGTACCTGAAGCCTTTCGGCGCATTCATGAGTGTGTGTGTGTGTGTGTGTGTGTGTGTGAGAGAGAGAGAGAGAGAGAGAGAGAGAGAGAGAGAGAGA